CCCTACAGCGAGAATGCTCTTCTCGGCTGCGAGGAGGGACTTCTCGAGGATCTCGACAGTGAGAGTGGTGGGGCAGACTGCGAGTAGGTCGTCCCTGACTCCGCGAAGGGAGTCAGGGAGGCGGGTGACAATGTAGTAGAGAGTGAAGTACTGGGGGGGGGGGTTCTTGGCGCAGAACTCAGCAGGAAGTGCAGCGCGGAAACGAGCGTCACTAGTGCGCAGGTGGGTAATGAGGTCGGCGACTGTGGCAAAAGCAGCAAGGTCGGGAAAGAGGTACGGTAGCATGAGGCGGCTCAGTGCAGCAGTGGCAGGGGTGGAGTAGCGTGCGATAACGGCGTCGTACAAGGTCTTAGCACTCTTGTACGACCCAAAGTGCGCACGCTCAGCGGGAGGGAGGTGGCGACGCACAGCAAGACGTGCAGCAGCATCGCGTGTGGCCCACACTGAGCGAACAGTGGCATCCTCAGTAGCAGCAGGGGCGGGAGAGGCACCAGAAGTGAGATCAAAGAGAGAGAGTCCGTCAGCTCTGTCGCACTGTAGGAAAAGCAGTAGGTCGTCTACCCACACGTCAAAGTCAATGGCTCTGCCCTCAGCGTCAAAGGCGAGGACACTGGGGGTAGCCATGACAGCAGTAGAGAGAGGGCAGTGCGCAGAGTAAAGCTCAGTGCTCACCAGACAGGGCAGTGCAGGGAGGGCTCGGGCGGCTCGGGCGGCCCGGGCGGCTCGGGCGGCTCTGGCGGCTCGGGCGGCTCGGGCGGCTCGGGCGGCTCGACTGCTGGGCGGCTCGGGCGACTCGGCGGCTCGGGCGGGTCGGGCGGCACTGCAGTTGGGGCGGCTCGGCTGCTGGGGCGGCTCGGCTGCTGGGGCGGCTCGGCTGCTGGGGCGGCTCGGCGGCTGGGGCGGCTCGGCTGTTGGGGCGGCTCTGCTGCTGGGGCGGCTCGGCCGGGAGATGCAGGGGCGGGGCCGTCAGGTGCAGCGGCGGGTCGACCGGTGCAGCGGCGGGCCGGCAGGTGCAGCGGCGGGGCCGTAGGGTGCAGCGGCGGGCCGGTAGGTGCAGCGGCGGGGCCGTCAGGTGAAGCGGCGGGCCGCTGGGTGCAGCGGCGGGCCGTAGGTGCAGCGGCTGGCCCGTCAGGTGAAGCGGCGGGCCGTTGGGTGCAGCGGCGGGCCGTAGGGTGTAGCGGCGGGCCGGCAGGCGCAGCGGCGGGGCCGGCAGGTGAGGCGGCGGGCCGTAGGGTGCAGCGGCGGGCCGTAGGGTGCAGCGGCGGGCCGGCAGGTGCAGCGGCGGGGCCGTCAGGTGCAGCGGCGGGCCGGCAGGGCCGCGTCAGAGCAGGCGGCGGGGCCGCGACAGTGGAGGCGGCGGGGCCGCGTCAAGCAGGCGGCTGGGCCGCGTCAGTGGAGGCGGCGGGGCCGCGTCAAGCAGGCGGCGGGGCCGCGACCAAGCGGGCGGCAGGGCCGCGTTAGAGCCGGCGGCGGGGCCGCGTCAGTGGAGGCGGCGGGGCCGCGTCAAGCAGGCGGCGGGGCCGCGATCAGGAGGGGCAGCGGGGCCGCGAGGGAAATGGCGACCCGAGGGGTCGCTAAAAAAATGCGCGCCTCGGGGCGCGCTTCGGTGGGCCCTAAAAAAAACGGTCCTTAGGAAGGACCCGCTCTATACCATGTGAAACAAGTAAACAGGAATGAGAATGACTAAGGAAAGATTGGGTACAAATACAACACTAGAAACCCTGTACCCCATATGTGCTACCCCACTATAGCCTACAGCAACTATGTCATATAAATCTGACATATCTGAGCTGGCACGAGGGGGGCCTCCATTGGCTAGAAATACATTTTCGTTATTGCCTGCCAACGATAATATCAAGAAAAGAGTTTGCAAAAGTGGTACACTGATCCTACAGAGTATAATTTTCAAAAGCTAGGAAAACCCTGATGGATCAGGGTTTGAACAAGGTGTCACACTGATAGTCAGATTTTGGACTAGTGCAAAACTGATGACAAGGGTTGCTGAAAATAAAAAATTAGCCCTGGTCTGGTCTGCTTTGGTTGTACATATTTTGTAATGCTGAAGAGTGGCACGAAAGTGATGCATCACCTCATTCAACCTTCACACCCAGGGCACTCTTCACACACATCTGCTTCTCAATTTCCCTGTGCCCACAACGGTTTTAGATGAGGCAATGGCTTTGTAACGAAAGGACTTTTGCCGTGTTTCCTTTTGCTATGGAAGGAAAATATGGTACACTACGGTATTTGTTTGTTTAGGGTTGGGTCAATGGCTGCAGGGTGGCCCTATTTTTCAAGGGCAAATGCTTCTATTGAATTTACCCGAGGCCATTTGGGTGTTTAGATTGAATCTGTAGGCCTATTTTGTTTGAGTACTTTCATCTTGGATGAAACAAGGGCCATGGTGGATCTTTGTTCTGAATCATGCTTATTGAGGGTTAATATTTCGTTGGTAACGGCATTTCGATGTCCCACAACCCCGCCTTGTAGTGAACTGTTGCGGCTGTCCTTTACTGAACAACAGGTTGCCAAAGCAGCAACTCCTTCCGTGAACGCACCCTATTGCGAAGGAAACAAGCTACCGGAATCCAGATCCCTTTTGAAATTTTCACAACACCGTCTCCAACCTTGGTATTCTTGCAGTCATTTTTCCGAGGGTAAGTAGCTTTGGCAGGGGTACTACTAGCGACCCTGCGCTTTGAAGGGGACTACAGTGCCAGTAGCGGGCACTTTCCACCCCTCCGTGCCTCAGACAGGGAAGTTATAGAAACAAGACAGTAGTCTTCCACACATTCACCCACGTGTCACCAAAATCCAAATCGAGTCCACCCTCTGGGTGGCTCGGTTGCCACACTGTTTCGAAATCTGATAGGCAACTGTTTCGCGCCCAAAATTTCGGAACACAGGCCTGCGTCAGCACGCAGTGCAATAAGTCAGCGGGCAAGTAAAAAACTAAACCCCACATGGAAGGCATGCAATTCGGGAGGCATCAACCCTAAAATTTTAGGGTTGAGGCTCCCGAGTGGCATGCAGTCCGACTGGGGAATTTTGTTTTTGCCCACGGTCAGATTGGTTTCGATTTGGCAGAAGGGAGAAAAGTCTGTTGCGCACAGTTGGTCAGAATGTCCAGTACAGTGCGTGGCATGGAAATTGGTGACACGTGGGTGAATGCGGGGAAGACTACTGTCTTGTTTCTATAACTTCCCTGTCTGAGGCACGGAGGGGTGGAAAGTGCCCGCTACTGGCACTGTAGTCCCCTTCAAAGCGCAGGGTCGCTAGTAGTACCCCTGCCAAAGCTACTTACCCTTTTTCCGAAGCACATAGTACACGAGCTGATTCGGACAACATAATTTATATTCGATATGACGGGGGGCATGGCTACGATTCCCTCAGTTGTTGGCGGTGCCTCGTTGTACCGTACGATGGCGGTTCCGATCGAGCAGCATATTGATACAGTATCTAGACTGAAAGGCGGCGACGAGAATTGGGGCGAGGCGTGCTAAGCTCATAAATAGTAGGATATTCACTGCCGCCCAATTTCGTTATGAAAGCGCAGCGAGGAGAACCACTCACTGACGAAACGGACCATTTGCCACTGGGAAAACCATACGTTTACACTGCGCCGCCCATATCCTTTGCTCCCCTGGCAAACTCGCCAAGATCGACGAATCCACCAGCTCATAAAGCCAGCGCAGCATGGACGCGGTGGGAAGGCACAGTGCGAACGGGGGAGGAGTCTTATCATCAAGGGCGGCGGATAGGGCGCACTGGAGAGCAAGCATGGTGGGCAAGCAAGAGCAGCACAGCAGGAACGAGTACGACTCGTCAAAAGACGTGTCGATCTCTGACGGGCTGTGGCCCTTCACGTATTTTCTCAAACCAATCCCGCAGCAGTCTGCCACGTGTGCTTTGCCAGACGTTATCATGCTGGTCATTACACCGTTTGGCAGGGCGAATGAAACGCGTCGGACGCACCCCGAGATTCCCCCTCCCCGCGTGTCCGACGCAACAATCCCTTCCAAGTTGGCATACTTTCGCTCGTTATGGAGAGACAATGAAGTGTGCAACCTCGCCGCCATGGCATCACCTCCGAGTGAGTCACTCCTAAACATACGCCAACTACTGAGACAAATAGTTTCTGTAGATTTGTGAGTCAAGGCCCTCGTCAAAAGTGGTTCCAATTGGACAATGGTTCTGCCTCCGACTGTCAAGAGTCTTGACAGTCGGAGCTGCCTCGCGGCGGGGGGACTGCCAACGTCTCCTTATGGGCATTTTTCAGACAGTCTCAAAAAATCACTTCTGTCACCTTGCGAGCTGCCTCGCGGCGGTAGGACTGCCACGTCTCCTTCTCACGCCGCGATATGAATACTGGCAGCCCCGCTAGCTCCTCACTTCTCTTTTTCGTATCGTAGCGGTGGTTTGCGGGCCTGATGTTACCACCCACGTGGGATCTTGAGCGAAGGAATACATTTCTTGGGAGTGAGAAGTGGATGCTATCCCATTCCTTGGGATCTCCCAAACCTGTCTGACATTTCCTCCGTTTGACATTATCGGGATCAGCACAGCGGATTCATTAAATTTTGGCTGAGTGCTAGATCTAATAGCACCACGCGAGACAGAAACGAGACCTTCAAAGTGACTTTCCCGTGCACCACGTTTCTGACATCGATCTGAGCCTCCTCAGCAAGCCAGAGGAAACTCGTCCCGCAGAGATGGACCAACAAGGTCGCGTCTTGGATCAACTTAAAGCAACTGACCCATTGGGGGAGATGCTTGGGCGCCATGGCGAGAACCCCAGCATCGGGCAAGAGGGTAGTAGCTTGAAGGATTTGCTATCATTTGGGAGGCATAAGCAAGACCTTACCAATGATACAGGCGTGGAGCCTCGGCCCTCTTTTGACGCGCAGATCTGGAATGAGGAGAAGAGTGGGCTCTTGGAGGAGCAGTTGGGCCGCCATGGGCGCCGACTTGAGGACCCCATCAGCATCCCGCCGCCCTTCATGTCCGGTCAGCCTTGCCGACTTCTGGAGGACCCTCAAATCTCGAGTCAGAAAGAGAGTGGGCTCTTGGAGGAGCAGTTGGGGCGCCATGGGCGACTTGAAGACCCCATATTCTCACCTTCCTTCACGCACAACCAGCCTCGCCCCCTTTTTGAGGTGCCGCTTCAAATCTCGGACCAGAAAGTCAGCCGTGGGCAGCTTGAACGCTCTACTATGGCGCCGTTGGGGTACTATCCTCCGCCTCGCTTGCCCTTGCTGCCCCAACAGCCCGTGTTGACCCAAGAGCACGTGTTGACCCGCCACGGCCAGTTTGAGCACTCCACTATGGCGCCACTGGGGTATCCTCCTCACTTGCCCTTGCAGCCCCAACAGCCAGCGGAGCTTCCCCAAGAGCCAGCGGCGTTTCCACAAGAGCCAGTGGCGCTGCCGCCCCATTCAAAGGATTCATCTAAGGTCCCTGCTTTGGAAAGGGCCGTGGCTGAGCTTTTGGAAGAGGAGCAGCGGCAGCAGGCGGTGGACAGATGGATTGCACAGGCTTTAAGCGCCTCCTCAACAGAGAGGATTCTTGAGGCGCCTGAAAGACTGAGCGCCTCCGCACCAGAGAGACTGATGTCTGTCTCGGGCTCTGGAGGTATCAATATGGTCAACAGGGATGCAGCAGCACCGGCCTCTCTGGTGCAGCAGCAGCAAGTGGCGACAACCAGCTGGGTGGCACAGGCTGAGCTGGCAGGGCTGGCTCTGCCGCCCGATCTGATCCGAGAATCTGCACTTGCCGCCCAATTCGCGCTGAGGCAGATGCAGGAGCAATCTGAGGTGGGGAAACGGACTGTGCGAGAGAGATTTGAGAATTCTCAAAAGGGACAAGGAAGCGCCACCATGAAGCATGCATCTGCTTGCGAGCTTACTGAGTCCGGCAGCCTCTACTCACTGGGGAGGATGCAGGAGGGACAAGGAAGCGCCACCATGCAACATCCATCTGCTTGCGATCTTACTGAGCCTGGCAGCCTCTACTCACTGGGGAGGATGCAGGAGGGACTAGGAAGCGCCACTATGCAACATGCATCTGCTTGCGAGCTTACTGAGCCCGGCAGCCTCTACTCACTGGGGAGGATGCAGGAGGGACTAGGAAGCGCCACCATGCAACATGCATCTGCTTGCGAGCTTACTGAGCCCGGCAGCCTCTACTCACTGGGGAGGATGCAGGAGGGACAAGGAAGCGCCATTACGCAACATGCATCTGCTTGCGAGCTTACTGAGCCAAGCAGCCCCTTCCTCAACTCAGCAGAGAATGCTTTGCTTCCAGCCTCCCCCACAACCCCTACTGCTGTTTCTGCTGCTGCTGCTGCTGCTGCTGCTGCTGCTGCTGCCTACCCGCCTACTGCTTTTGCCTCGCCCACTGCTGCTGTTGCTTCTTGTTCATCTGCTGCTGCTGCTTCCTCCTCACCTGCTCCTGGTGCTCTCTGCCTACCTGCTGCTGATGGTGTTGGTCACAAGGCCGAAAGGCGACATGGCTTGACTGTACGAGACCCTTTTAAGACGTCTCAAAGGCCTCTCTTCCCGCGTACCACTTCTCGTGTTTACTGCACACCCGCTCTGCCTGCTCCCTGCTCACGTGCTCCTGGTTCCACCTGTTCACTCGCTGCTGCCACTCCTGGTGCTTGTCATGGAAGGGATGGAGCTGCTTCTGGTGCTTGTCATGGAAGGGATAGAGCTGCTTCTGGTGCTTGTCATGGAAGGGATGGAGCTGCTTCTGGTGCTTGTCACGGAAGGGATAGAGCTGCTTCTGGTGCTTGTCATGGAAGGGATGGAGCTGCTTCTGGTGCTTGTAATCAGGGGGAAGCACATGCCTTGACACTGCAAGAGCCTCCTGCCACGTGGACGCCCCTGGATAGTTTGGGGAATGCCCCTCGGTGGTCGAAACAGAGGGGGGCGAGACAGGCAAAGCAGGAAGCGGAGGGATGGAGAAGGGAGGACCGGAGGATGCAAGCATTGGAGGCGAAGCAGTATTCACCTCGCGAGGCGTCGCAAGTAGTCCCTTCTAAGGCACTACACTTATTGCCTATTCAGGCATCACAATTATCGACTTTTCAGGCACAGCACCTGTCGCGTGAGGATTGGAGGCCGCGCGTTCGAGCGCGATTGGACGGGCAAGCAGTGGGGCTGGGATGCATCCAACCAAAGAGCATGAAGGAGAGGCAGCGGCGTGATCATGTCAGGTGACTTGACCTTCTTATTTCAACACCTCCTCCCCTTCTCTTCCCTCCACTCTTTATCCCTCACTCCACTGTCTCTCCCCCTCTTCCTCTCCCTCCTTTCCCCATGTCCATCCCCATGTCCGTCCTCTCGTCCCTGCCTCTTTCCCCCTCCACCCCATCCCATCTCCAAACCCATCCCTCCCCTATTATCTTCTTTTCCCCTTTCGCCATCTCCCTGTGTAACTCTTGCTGCAGTCGGTGCTGCTACGTATTTTATTTATTTATTATTGATGTTTTCGGATCTGACTCTGGGAGGGGAAGGGGATGGGCATCTAGCTTTGTGTTTTCTTGTTTGGCATTTGGCTTTGTGAGTGAGATCTTGATAAATGTATGGGACCTGGATGAAGCCTGAAACTGAGTGTGTGACCTTATCCAAATCCTGTGCTTGTATCGAATGTGACTGTATCAGGAGAGGCCTGGAGCAGCTACATCGAGCGCTACCCCCATCTCTTGCAAGAGCACAACTCGATACAGCCACAATGGTGGAGTCTGCAGTCGCTTACATAAAAGACCTGCAGGTACACTCACACGCTCTACTTTCTCATCATTTATGTTGAATAATGTTAATTGCTGCTGAATCTGAGTAACATGTTCGCATGTTTAAGGTGATTGAAGTATAGGAGCTGTTCTGAGCACCAGTGTTCATGTGTTCACGTGACCATGCAGGTTCGGATTGAAGCCATGGAGAAACCCATTCATGCTGCCATCGAGACACCGAGATCTGCAGTGGAGGCGACAGCACATGGCTCAGCATAAGCTGCCGGCACATCTAGGGTGATTTTTTTGGTCGATCTAACCATCCCTGGAGACTCCAAGCCCTGCTTGTAAGGAAGAATTCAGGGCGACTTTTGGGTTGACTCAAAAGTCACTGGAGAAGCCAAGATCTGCAGTGGAGGAGACAACATGTGGCTCAGCAGCTGTGTTCTGACTGTCAATTGACTGCAATTTCCTTGCACTTCCCCAGATTGCACCAAGTTTGTCAGTGCCAAGTTGCTCCTTTGGTTGCTGGCGCACACTTTTGAGAAGTTTCAAAAGTTTCTCTACTGATCGTCGTTGCGCACACAGCGCCAAGATTCCAGGCTCCTCAGAAGTCTGCTGATATCCTGTAAACCGCACAGCAAAGCTTCGCCTGGTATCGTGCCATGATATCCTGATGGGGTAGGTTTGCTGTGTGTGTGATTAGCCTCTAGTGTAGTTCAGCATCGATAGTGTAGCCAGTCTGCTTTGGGCATATATTGTAGTGCTGAAGCTCTGTGGCATCACTATTCTCAAGTGATGTATCACCTAATTGAAGCATGCCACAATGGTATCCTTTGCCAGCCCACGTCTGCTTTCTTGACCTGCACATTCCCTGATTATGGTTTCCCACCCTGCTTCTCGGAGCCTCTGGGCGCCCAGGCCTTTTTGTGGGACATGGTGTAGCCTGCCTCGTTTGTGTAGACTGTGAACAGAAATCCGATTTATCTCTATGGTTGTAGCCCCTAGGAAGACCTTGGATGAAAGAAGCGCATGGCCCTAAGGAGCTTTAGGCATTATGTAAGAGCATCCAGCAACTGTTGCGGCTGTCCTTTACTGAGCAACAGGTCGCAGACTTGTGAAGTACTCTTTATTGCAACTACAGTTCAAGAAGACCAGATCCCGATTGATTTTCCGTTCGCTTCCTTGATACTACACCCTCATTCTCAGTCTTCTCACCGGCGGAAGCAGTGGCTACAGTGTTTGGACATAGCGGGCTGGTGAGATAACTCGGTTGCGGGCCAAGTCGCACGAGGCGACGAAACCAGACTTGGGCCGTAAAATTCCGTCAACGCTGAATAACTGTCTTAACCGTTTAGAAAACAGCATTACCATTTTAGAACGTATAGAACCTTGACTAAACGCCCTGGGTCAAACTGTCAGTATAACGCATGTGATAGGACCTTCTTTGGTCCGCTGCGGCTACACTAAGCGTCCTGGTCAGTATAACATATGCCAGTCTAACGAGAATGAGGGTGTAATCTGATTTACGACGTTTTCTCGTAGCCCACTTATGGCGTGTACGAAGTGCTGCAAAACCTCGACGTTGAGGGACGACAAACCCCGCTACTCGTAGAAAACTCCGTCTTCCCTACCAGACGTCAACAGCAGCAGCGGTTACTCTCTGTTGATATCTAGACTGGAAAGGAGGCGACAAACTCAGGAGAGTGTTGTCGAGGCCATTAGTTAGGGTGCGCAGTGCCGCCCAAACCAGCCGGTTACTCAACCACTCGTTTATAAAGCGCAGCTCGGACCTATAACTGACGAAAGGGGCATGGCGGAAAACGACATGTTTTCACTTTGCCGCCCTCATCTCTCCCCGCTCTGGCATTCTCGCCTCAATCATACAATAATCCGTCAGCCGCAGCATGGCTTCGGGGTGATGTCGGCAAGGGCAACAGGTTCACTTGCCAACCTGTTCTCGCGAGGAGAGGCAATCCTCGACCTGGCATTCTCGCCTAGATCATGCCGTGAATCCGCCAGCTCATGCTTGGGGTTTCGGGTTGCGGGGGCAACAGGTTCTCTCTCCCCCCTGCTCTACACATGATGCCCGACCAGTGCACGCGAAATTGCCATGCACCGGATGGAAACGCTGCCCCCGAGCTGGAAACCCCTGCTTGCTGCTCCCACAGTACAAGCACATGGGTGGCTGGCAACAGTACACGCGACTCGGCCATCAATGCACGTGCACTCCCGAACAAGCCATGCCGACCCACTGTTGCCTTGTTTCTAGGCCAGGAGTCGGAGAGGCGAAATGACTGGACGAAACGACTATGGTTTAGTGAACGCATTCTCCCATCTAGGCCGCCACCTAAGCAAGGATCATCGTGCGTGTAACAGGCATTTGGTCAGATACAACCTGCCACGTTTAATTCGGGACTTGCAAGGTACAAGCGCATTACCAGCCAGGCGTGCTTCGCCCACCCCACGTCAGACATTCGAGGGTGTGGTTACCAAACCACACGATAAAAAATGCAAGCCATGTGCATGGAACGAACACCAACCACAAAAATGTGACATGCAACAAAGAACATACCCCAGCTTTGCCCAGCACGCCCGACCTATGACGATAAAAATCGAACTACTAATTCACAAAGTCAGCATTCTCTCACACCCCAGCCGCTCACAATGCCCCGCTTTAATCGACGGGAGCAGCTCCCGCTCCATATCAAGCGCGCTATTTGCGCGCACCATGTCGACAACCCCCGCCTGCGTCATGTTGACCTGGCGAGGTGGTGCTACACGCAGTACGGATTGCGCCCGGATCGCTCCACTGTCGGCCGCATATTGAAGCTCGCCGAGCGATGGGCTGCCACGGCAACCGGCGACAACCAAGTGCGCCGTCGAGGTGGCGCATGGCCTGAGCTGGAGCAGGCCATGGCGCGGTGGATCGCAAACGCAGGGCCCGCTGGCGTGCCTCTGACGCTGCAGACCATCCGCGACCATGTCGCGACGATGTCCCGGAACATGGGCATTCCGCCCTCATTCCGCTGCTCCATCGGCTGGGTGCGCCGTGCTTTGAGGCGCCAGGGAGTGAGGTGCCGTGCAGCACAAGGCGAGGCGGCTAGCGCGGACATGGCCGCCGTGCGCCACGCACGTGAGAAGCTGCCGCAACTCCTCACGCATCTCGGTGTCACCCCGCGGGACACTTTCAACCTCGATGAGACGGCGCTCTGGCTGTCAGTCCTCCCTCGGCGCACTTACAGCAACGGCCGCATTCCCGGCCGCAAAGTATTGAAGGAGCGGCTCACTGTGGCATTCCTCGTGAATGCTGACGGGAGCCACGTATTCCGACCGCTCGTGATCAGTAAGGCGAAGCGGCCGCATGACTTCCGCCCGGATTATGACCCTGAATCCCTTTGCTACTGGCGGCACAACGCGAAAGGCTGGATGACCTCGCCAGTAAGCTCGTCGTGTTTTTTTGTGTCGTCCGTTCTTGTTGCTGCGGACAAATTACGCGTAATATCAAATCTGCATGGAATGTGTTTGTGCTTACAATGTTCCACTGTACGTTCCGCCTTCCCCTCCCTTCCCGTCCAAGCAGTTACTCACACATTTCATATCGCAGCTCAATGCTGCGATGTACGCCGAAGGTCGCAAGATCGTGTTGCTGCTCGACAAAGCGAGCAGCCACATGCTCCGCTCTGAGCTCGCATGGAGCGAGATCGTCTGCGGCATGCGGACGACCTGCATGAGCAACGTGCGGCTCGTCTTCCTGCCGCCGAATACCACCGCATTCACACAGCCGCTCGATCAAGGCATCATAGCCACCGTAAAGGCCCGCTACCGACAGCATTGGCTGCGGCCCTTCTCGGCTTTGTGGAACGGCGACGGCGCGACTTCCGCCGTCGCGCGTTTCCGCCTGAACTTGCGCAATGTCCTCGCGTGGCTGTCGGACGCGTGGACCTCGGTCAGCGCGCGCACCATTCAACGGTGCTGGTGGCGCACGGGGTGTCTACCGCTCTCGTGGTCCCTGGAGCTGACGTAGGTACACGACGATGAGCCCTCCCCCGCCGTCTACCCCGACATCGAGCTCGACGACGACATCGACGATGTCGGGACGCTTATTAGCGGGCTCGCCCTCGGGAATGCGGCGATGACGGCCGCAGAGTACGTCGCCATCGACGACGACGAGCCAACCTGCGCCGAGGGCGCTGCGGGACAGCCCACGACTGAGCCGGAGGCGGGCCTAGAGGTGGAGCTCTGGCACGCGCCGACGACCATGCAAGCCGTCGACGACGACGCCGACCTAGTGTGCCGCGAAGCGCGGC